TATATATATATATATAGGCTTAGGTTATTATATTCAAAATAATTATTGTGTTATTGTATGCATAAATGTGGGCCAATCATTTTATTTATTTTAAGAAAGTGATTAATACATATTATTGAATTAAATATAGTTGAAAAATACCATCTAATTTAACTAGAAGGGTATTTTAGTCAATTAACATAGATTTAGTAAAGGAAATTTGCATATTTTAAGGGATCATATACGATTTTACGAATTATAAGGTTTTTAATTCGGACTNTTACGAATTATAAGGTTTTTAATTCGGACATTCTGACAGAATATGTTTGAGTATGTTCAAAAATAAAAAAAAAATTCTTGAACCATAAAATAATAAAAATATTCTTGAACATATTTTCTTGATCATGACTTTAAAAATTTCTTGTAGAATAACAAAATTCTCGAACCATCAATTGAAGAATTAAATCAAAAATTACATTAATTCTTATAGAATACATGTAACAATTGCTAAGAATTACATTTATTGTTAAAGAATAAAACTAAAAAAACTTTCAAATCTGGAAAAAAAACATCAAAATCTAACAAAGACACTACTACATTCTAAACGAATAATGTTGCTAAGAGGCGTCGTTCAAATTTCGTGGTCTGTTCTTCAAGCATCAGCTTCTGTAGAAACAAATCCAATAATAAATTAGTGAGAAAATATCCATATTCCATTCCAACATAATTGGAATTCGTGATTCCATTCTGATAGAATTGGAATTCATTTACCAATAACTATATTAATTCGGGGAATTCTAACAGAATATGTTCATGATTATCATACAAAACATTCTTTTCTGATAGAATAATATAAACGAAGAAATACCATTCAGTTGAAGCATTTTAGCGAGCGCTTGGTGCGCATCAAAACAACTTTCAATTTCGGATGAGAGGGTGCTACAGCTGCCGCAATAAGAACCCTAACCCTAGGAGGGTGCTACAACTACCGCTTATACCCCATCCTTCACCCTCCTAGGCCGCCGATTGTAACTATGGCAGCAAGCGATCGGAAGAAGAAAGATATTGGCTGTCGCGTTGTGTTTCACGTGAGTACGAGTGTTTCTGCTCGTGTTTGGATGCGTATTCCAGAATATGTCGTCGTGTGTGTGCTTGGTCGGCCGGAAGTGGAGTGTGTACGAGAGGGAGATGAGAGGGAAAAGGTTGGGGGCGACGATGAATAGAAGAGAAGAGGGAAGAGGCGGACGTGAGGATATATACTAGAAATTGGGTTTTAAAACTGATATTCATAAATTAAAGGGATATTAATTGATTTATATATTTACCATAATTAATTAAATGTATGATTACATATTTACCTTTTTGAAATGACTGGCCTATATTTATTCATACAATAACACAATAATTACTTTAAATACCTGAACCTAGCTCTCTATCTCTCTATATATATAAGACTTTTTCATTAAAAATCTTAAAATGAAAAAAGTAATTGTATCTTTGACTATACGAGAGATTTTCCCCTTTGATGTTTTTTTTGTTTTATTATTATTATTATTATTATTATTATTATTATTTTGTTGTCGTTGTTTATTTGTTATTGGTTAAAAAATCATATGACCCATGAGATTATTGAAAAAGCTCGAAGAGAAAAACTTGCTAATTAATAAGTTTTGAAAAAACTATTACATCCTGTTCCCGAGTTCACTTATTAGAGAAAAGAAAGCAAATTGGTGGAAATTAAAAGAAAGTAAAAGAAATTGATGCTTCCAAAACTAAATAAAGGAAATTGAAAGAAATGGAAATACCGTTTTCCCTTCTAAAACACTGCATTTTTTTTTATTAAAACGAATGCAAGTTGTTCGTTGAAAACAATAATAGTTTGTGAACTATTTTTTCGTTCAACAACGAATGTATTTTTTTTTTTGTTAAATGTAGTATTTGTTTGTGTAAAATCGGTGCAGTCTACTTAAAAAAATCTATTATTTGGATTTTAATTTTTTATAGTATTACTGAATCAGTCGTATGTCGTAGCTGGAACATGAATGGCTCATGCATTCCAAAAATTATTCGGTAATGCAAGTCATCTCAGTGGTACAAACTTATATATTATGTAAAACTCACATTCAATAATTTTACTAAATTATTAACTAATCATTTATAGCAATAATTGTTGTGTAACAGAAGTTATATATTAACAGTGTTCTGGTAAAACAACCATAAACCTATTGTTCAGTTTTTATGTAAAAACATATACTCATTGGTGATACTAAATCATTGATATATAATTATCGACACATTAATATATTGTCATTAAACCATATTAATAATCTATTGTTACTAGATGGTGTTAGTGAATCACTGTTTTAAAATTGAAATGTTAAATAAAAAAAAATTATTAATAAAAAAATAAAACTCTGTAAAATACCAATATTTTAGCCATGTTTATAGAAAAGTGTCAAAATAAATTTTATTTACAGAAAAATACACAATAAAGGCTAAAGCTTCGGGAAAACCCTTTTTTGACAGATTTTTTAGATTTAACCGGTACCCTGTATTTTTTTTCGTAAATTTGGTCAAAATATTTAGACTTTTTTTGAAAATTACCTATTTTTAACAAATAACCAAAATATTAGGACATTAATATAGTTGTCGGTGGACTAAATATTATCTTAGTGCTTGTTGACCACTTCAAACCCTCTACTTTTCCCCTGTGCATCGTTTGGGTGTCATGGTAAAATGCATTTTATTGTATTCCTCTGATGTTGGTGTTCCTTTAATATTCTTTAACCTAATTAGGACTCAACCTTAATACCTTACTTAGTAATAACCATCGACTAACACATATCTATTGAGAGTGAAAAGTGAACATTAAATAGAAATTTAAATTGAAACCAGTTAAGAGTAATTTTGTATTTAAACTGTTATTCTAAGTTCAATTTCCACTCTTGATGGATTTGTGTTAGTCCATAGTTGTTACCAGGTAAGATATATAGGCTAGGTGATAGTTAGATTAAAGAAAATAAAAAGAACACCCACATGGTATGAAACAAGAATGCACAAGAGGAAGATAGAAAATTTGAAGTGGTAAGCAAACAATAGAGAGTATGTAGTCCATTTTTACATTTCTAGAAATTAACAACAAATATATTTTATAATAAAAAGATATGTTATAATTAAAAATAATTTGTTCATAATAATATATATTAGTTAATGTTAATCTTTATAAAAGTCCTAATATTTTGATTATTGGTTAAAAATAGGTTAATTTTCAGAAAAGTCTCAATATTTTGACAAAATTAACAAAAAAAAAAAAGATGAGATACCGGCTAACTCTGCAAAACCGGTCAAAACTAATTTATCCGAAGTTTTAACCGTTTTCCTATGTTTTTCTATAAATAAAATTTAGTTTGAGATTTTTTCATAATTAAGGTAAACTATTGAGATTTACTAGAGATTTCCCATAAGAAAACTACCAAAATTAACTATATTATTTAATTTAGACATAAAAGTGAACAAGAACTGTATTGTTTTTAAATAAAAAAATTGCAATATATTAAACAAACAAAAATCACACAGAAACCTTAATAAAAATAATTTGTAGCGATTTCATATCCAATTAACTTGAAATATTGTAAACATTGGAGCAGGTATTGAGACATGGTCTAAAAAACAAATGCATAGCCACAACTATCGTGTTACTGAACCATTTATAAACCAGGTTAGTAGCACAAAACTCCATGTAAATTTTCAAAAGCTCTACATATTCATTTTTATTCCTTAATTTTGTGTAATCACAATGCATTAAACTTTAAACGTTTTTAACAGTGCTTGCCAGCTTATGTTAACTAAATAGGCCCTTTTCTTTTTTTTTTTTTTTTTTTTTTTTTTTAATTTCAGATGTATCAACTTCATATTATGTGTATGATATACATTTTCACATCAACAGTCATTTTTTATTTATTATGCATATTTTGTGTCACATATGTTACAATATAATATGTGGTCTGTAAATGAAAAGATTGTAGTTGTAATCGGAAGTGGACCAAGCGCAACTGACATATCAAAAGAAATAGCAATGGTTGCAAAAGAAGTTCATATGTCGTCAAGATCTCCACTTGTTAACATGTCAAAACTGGAGAAGTTCGACAATCTATGGCAACACTCCAAGGTAATATAATTTATATACTTTAGTTTATAATCGTAGTTTTCTTAGTTTGAATTCTAATATATGTTTTCCCTATAAAATATTTGGTCCTAAGGTATATAGTTAAAATCTCACTACTAGAAAACAGTGGTATTAGCAACAGAATTTTAGCCATGGAAAATATCCGTTGAAAATAAAGAATGTCCGCGGGTAATCCATTACAATACTGCCTATGGATTACCAATAAATTTATAATCGTTGGTAAAATTACGTTCTTAAGAAAAACCATAGCAATGAATTAGCAATGAATTCCGGAAGAATAATAATGATATAGCACTTCTTCCTTCATTTGAGTTTATAAATTAATAATCCCATGTGCCTATAGATTGATGAATGATTCAACAAAAGGCTTTGCATAAAACTTCAGGTTAGCTTAGATAAAAAGTACTCATGACTAATTCACTATCATCCAAGACCATATAACTATACCTTATGATGCTAAAAAAGAAAACATCATATTTTTCTTTCCCTTATGCTTATATATAAAATGGCTTGATATTTCTTCCGTGGTTATTTATAAATGCAAGAGATAGACTATTGTATATGTTAGGATATGTTTTGGTAATTTCGTATTATTTTGGGCTACTTTTGTTTATACTCCTAATTAATGGTAGTTTTCACAATTTCCCTAATTCGCTACGTATTATTATTGTCATGGTACCATGGTAATTTTATGCTTCTTCCTTACAATCAAAGATTCAATCCAACAACTCGACAAGTTCTATGAGTATACTAGCGACATTATTTCATCTTTAGGTAATACACGGGTCTTTGATTTTAGTTGTTGCAATCATATAACATTAAAAGAACACTATTCATTACTAAACAGTCACAACATTCTTTTCCCTTATTCTGCACCATTGATAGCCTGCACAATTGATGACACATAATTACCGATAAGAATTGGTGAACATACATCCACTCCTCATTTGTCATTACCAATATTACCTATGTTCATAATCCAAATTTTAGCATTTCATTTATTAGTAAAGTACCTAACTATGGTCTCTATTTTCCTTTCACCCCTTTTTGACTCTCTTTTGCATGATCGAATGACTAAGGAGACTCTTGAAAACACTTTTTAGAATTGGTAGGATGTTTTAAGTGGTCTATATTTGTCTTATAGAGTCATCTTTAGATTTAACAACCTTTACATAAATTCCATGTGACACTTAGTTATCATAAGTGAAGATGAATAAACCATATTGGTAACAAACAAATTTCATTCATGAGAATAAAATTCAACCAAACATAAGAAACAAATTCAATTCATATGAAACAACTATAATTTGTACCTTGAATTGTATTTCAATCGAATTAGGATGAAATCATTCTGTCGGAAAAACATCATTTTAATTAATTAAAAAATATAAGTTTTTTTTGTCTAATTTAAACATGTGTAAATCTAGATGTTTATTATCTAGTTGTATATTATATAAATGGATCTTATCTTCTCTTGAAGAGTGATATAACAACAATATATCACACATCCGTATTTGACCAAAAGTGAATAAGATATCCACTCTTAAACTAGGGTATTTGTAATAGGAAAATAAAAGGCTGAGAAAAAGGGATCAGGTTGTCAAACATAGGTGGGATGCCAGACTTTTAGTGAGTATATATGGAAAGTAGTTTCTAACCATCTATTTGAAAAACGTGGAAGTTATAGTGAGAGTACAACACATGTATATGTAGCGTAGACGCGATTGACGACTCATGTATGTATACACACTTTGTGTTTTTAAGATACTCTAAGGATCCCTTAATTTTCTACAAAGAAAGTGACAACTAGGATGCCTTGATAGCTCAAGTTATCTAAGGCTAGGCTAACCTATGCAAGTTGACTTCATGATTGATTGATTTCCAAGTTTGTGTTTCCATGTTTGTGTGTCATGGTTGGCTTGGTGATGCTATGTAGCAACTTAGGATGCCTTTAGGACTACCTAGGAAACATTATAATATAATGTTAGATTATTTGACAAGGTGAGTTTTGTTACATAGGTCTTCCTTGGCAACTCGATTAGCCTAATGTCAAGTTTGAATTTTTCGTTATGATTCCAATCTTAGGTTTGTTAACTTTCATTGCCAATTAATGGGTTAATAAGGAATTATTTTCCAAATAATTTTTGGTTGTTTTAGTTTTAACTCCATACCATAAGTTGATATTTTTTTTTATTTTAATTATACATTTCTTACACCATATATTAAAAAAAAATAAGAGAAACCACACAACAAATAGAGACTTGATATTTCATTTCACTTTCGGTGATTTTCCAGACAATGTTCGATAAAAATGTCAATAAATACTACTTTAGTTGTTTTAATCGAGAAACAAATACAACAAGACAAATTTGATTGGATAAAGTCCTATGAAAGAATTATATACATGCTTTTAATTACAAGAAATTTACTTTGTGAATTAAATTTGTGTATAAATACAAAGTAATATTATGTTATAAATAGATTACATGAATAAATGATTCTTGTTTTTATTTTCATATATGCACACTTGACAGATAAGTTATGTAAGCACAGATGGTACATTGACATTTCAAGATGGTTTATCTGTTGTTGCGGATGTTATACTTCATTGTACAGGGTAAGTACAAGTTTATCTTACTTACAAATGAGAATCACACAAATATTGAGAATCTTCATGAATTTCATTATTTACATGATGATGGAATTCATATGTGAATGATTATAATGTCATCGAATATGAATGAGAATGACCATTGATCATTTACCCATAAATTTCATTCATATGTGCATGACG